GCTACAAAGCAACAGTGGTAGTTAGTGAGGCAGAGAACATCTGACGTTGCTGTGTAGAATCTTAGCTCACACAAATACACTTTTTGTATCTATTGAGTGTCGCGTGGTATATTTGAAACTATGATATATGGTGTCTTTATGACATATTGTGTTACCGTTGTAATTATATACCTGGCATAAACTTTACATTTCTTGTCATTGTTAGATTCCATAGTATATATGGAAGTAAATGCCATAGTAACAAATTCAACAAATATGTCATAGCCAACAAATTGTTACAGTTCTAATTAGGCTGTATCCCTTTGTCAGAACTACTTCACTGTTGTGATTTTCCCCCTCAAGCAATTAGTGTGCCAAGTTCTAATTTGTTTCATCATTTGTGCAGGAGAATGCGATTATTTTTCTTTGTTCTCCCAATTATAGATGGAAGTCGTTAGCGTATCATCTGTTGTTAGTGTGTCTCAGTTATTTCTTTCATATAACTTCTTACAACACTGGAAACTGTGCAGCGTTTAAAATTATTTAATCAAAATGATAAGTTTTGCCGAGTCAAGCCGCTGTTGCTTTTTTTCTTCTCCTCCTCTCTCCCCTCCCCCCCCCCCCTATTTTGTTTACCTGTTGGAACAAAAGCGTGCTTGCTTTAAAATTAATGAGGAAAGCTTTTAAACCAATTAAAATAGCTGTGCGTGATTACTGTAAGGCATTGTTTCATTTTTGCATAATTCCCATTCAGTCAACCACACGTATTCTTCTATCCTCGCAACTTGCACGGCGACGGAGGAATCTTTTGAACACAGGGAAAAAAAATGAGTTACTTTGCCCACCAAGTTTTGCGCCAAACAGTAATTAATTCAAGATATTGCTCGCTCAGAGGCTTTGATCATTCACCCAGATGGTTCAGTGTCAAGAGGCAACAAAAGTGCTTGGTGCTTCTTAGCAAACGTAAATGGTCGACGTTTAGTGCAGGAGAGCCTAGGATATAATACCACAACATCCAACTTAAGAATGGAGGTGGAGGCTTTCCGCTGGTTAGAGAACACTACACACACAATGACTAGAATCAACCAAAGCTAAACAGTCAGAAAGGCCTGGAGGAAGCACCTCTTATCATCATCGGATTACATAGGAGCTGTGTGGAATATAGCAATATGGAAGCAAACTGTCACTTATCCTCTTTCTATCGTTGATGCTTCCTTCAGCTCCTGATGATTCGACTGTCTGTGTATCTGGTAACTCTGCTTCAAATGGATCAGGTAGTGAAAGAGTACCTCACCATAGAGGACACAGCAACTGTACTGGTACTCAGCAAGTCTCTACTACCAGTCAGGTCACAACACTGTCTCTGGGCTACACCAAGCTCTTGCACTGTTAGGCTGTTTGGGGTATATGGCACCCCATTGTGATGATGTCATCAACTTCACAAATGGTAGCTGGTGGGTGGTTGGGTGATAGGTTGGTTGATAATTGGTTGATAATTGGTTGGTGGGTGTTGGTTGGACTGTGATTTTTCTGCCAGCTCTTCACAAAGGTTTCATCCCAAGCATAGGAAAAGTCCTCGGCACTACAGACCGCCTTCTGAAAGTGAAATTTTCTGGCGTCGATGCAGAAACAATGCCGCAAAAATTTCAATTCAGGCGTCAGTAAGAAGAAGTTCCTTGTATACATGAGCAAGGAGTAAACCGGTTTCTAAGAATCCTCAAATAACTCCAGTAATATTTATCATACAGTTGCAAATTTGAAAATGACGCTAAGTCAAAGCAACTGGATGATGTAGGTATCATAATTCTCTCCGATCAAGGCATATATCGATATAAGGGGCTATATACCTTCCTGGACGAGTCCAAGTTTGAAAGTTGTGTCGAGCACAGGTAAAACAGGTCTCGACTATTTTGGGGTGATGTGTAATGGCTTGTCATTCCTTGACACTGGCTCTGCACAATTTAGTGGAATACTAATACATGATAAGGCAGACGTGGTTGGTTCCTTGTAGGAGAGTGTGTACAGTTCAGAGGAGCAGATGGGTCACCGCAGTCTGGTGAGATTGATGCAAGGGTGGAGAGGGGGGGGGGGAGTGACGTAGGTTCTGGCAGATGCTCGAGGCTCAGAGGAAAGGCAAGACGGCACCATTAGTAACGGAACTCTTTGTTGGCTGCTGAAGATGGGGACGGAGCGCTTATGCGAATGCCCCGAGTGCATCCGAATCAAATCAAATCACAAAACAGATGCAAAGCGTGAGTGAAGTTCAACCCCACTAAGACCGCTCAAAGAGAGATAAACAACAGGTGTCACAAAATGCCACCACTCGGATAATAACCCCCCCCCCCCCCTCAGTCACAAGTTCTACAAATCCTGTTCAACCGTTATGGTGTAACAAACAAAGTGAATACTGCTGCCAGAGAGCCTCCATCAGCACAGCACAGGAATATAAAGTGCTATAATTGTGAACAAGAATACACAAACATCACTTAACTGAAGCATCTCTAATAGAAATCCGCATGTCTATCTGGCCAGCTGAATTTCTGATACATGTGTGAACACCGGAAAGGCATGCCAGACCACAAAAAGCTGTGATAGGCAAAGGCCGTCCCTTAAAAAAAAAATAGATACAAATGTACTGCACGTTATGTCCCTTGTGCGAGTTGGAACCCATCAGCGAGTGCACTCCCAGCCTGTATGAAGTGCCGCCTATATGTGTATAATACACGCCCCAGCGAAACCAGAGGGTGGGGGGGGGGGGTGTTGTTTCACTGGAACATGCACGTCAGAAATAATATACATTTGTCGGATAACGTGGTATTCTTGTCTAACTTCTCTTATAATTGTTGGGAACGAAACAGTGGATAGATCTCATTTGATCTGTATAATCGAAACGCTTCTGTAGTATACAGTCTTGGATAAGTTTACTTCCATTACTACTACTACTGCTGCTACTATTACAGCTACTACTACTACTACTACTACTACTACTACTACTACTACTACTACTACTACTACTACTACTACTACTACTACTACTACTACTACTACTACTACTACTACTACTACTACTACTACTAGTACTACTAAGCAGTATAGTAGTAATAATATGTCTCGGTGTACCACAAGGCAAAAACAGGGTAATCTATGTTTCCGACCAATTACCTAGTACCCATTTAATCCTGGGTTGACCTGGGAACCAAGATCATTTCTGAAAAAAGTTCAGCTCCGTCAGGACCTGAACACACGACATTCGGATCCGCAGGCGAGCGAATGGCCACTACAACACGTCGGCTGCCACCCTATTGAAACGCTCTATTTCTGTTAAAATACGCGGTGTCGCGGGTCACTTTTCCACTGTAAAGTGGGATTTGGTAACAGGTACTGTAATGGATACATAGATATGAAGTGTGTCTTCAAACTGATGCCGAGGTTTAAACGGTTATATCTCAGCTGTAGTGGAATATAAATGGATGAAATTATATATCAATATTTACTTGATTCTCTTTTGAATGTAGTCGATTTTGTGTTTCTGTTGGATGGATTCATTTATTTGCTCCATTTTAATCAATTTTTACTGTAGTGTGCACCTGACGAGATACAACGAAAAAATCCAGACGAAAAATTGTGCAATCTATTGTTTGTGTATTCTTTGTTCAAATTCACAACTCATTTGAAGTATATAAATATTCGACGATCCTTGCTGGACTGTCTTTTAAAAGTTATACAGCACAAAGTTAAGATGTAACCAATCGACCTTACACAAAAACATATGAATCTCGTGTTTTACGTAAATTCTGAATAAGACTACGACTGTTGCGCTTCAAGTTTCAAAACTCGCTTAAATATCAGTGTTCTGCCAAGTTTCGTCAGAAACTGCAAAGGCGTCACTTGTGCGGTTAGTTCTTGTATTATCGGTAGATTGGTGGAAGTCCCTGTAGGAACGGAACTTCTTATTCCCTAAATTGCCAGTGTGTCCGACTGATGTCTGCCAGTGTCTCTCTTCCAATTGCCAAGGTCTAACATGTGCCCCATGAACCAACCGTAAGCTTGTCACTTGGTCGTTAAGGTAGCCGGCTGGTCTAATTGGCTACCACAGCGACAATATATATTCAACATCGAATCTCACAGTACCCGTTGGCCGTTTCATAGTCACCATTTCGTCTTGTCCCTGTCCGAAAACATCCGGTTAATTGCAACAGGAGAAGATCGAGACATGTGTGTACAGCTGATTCACAAGCCAGCTGAAGGCAGCAGTGACTGCCTCCACCTCCATTCTCAAACTAGACGTTAATATATTATTTTCCAGTCTTTGCTGCACTAATCGACGTTCATTCACCTCTGCTATGAACCCCCATGCTTTTTGTCTGCCTCTCAACAGAGAGCCATCTGTGTAGCAGTGATATATCAAAAGAACATTATGAAAATTCTCAGAGGTGCAGGAACCTACGCCCCCAGGATAAGCAGTTGCAGAAACGCCTCTAACTTCTGTCATTAGTCGGCATCTTGATTCACGACGGTACTGTTAAATTTGTTTTGTTACCTAAAATATACAAGTGATGAAATAACAATGGAAGCGGTTTTTTCCCCCCGATAACACTGGGTAGTGTATATATTATTTGTGAATAAAACACTAAGTTAAAGATGAAAATAGGAACCGGTGCAAAATCCCGGTCCTATGATACGTTTTTACCGATAAATTATCGATAATACAACGCCACGAATTATAAAACGGACTGACTGACTGACTGACTGACTTTCTACCCCACCAGGACATCACACAAGCGATAAACACCCGATGACACAATGTGCCACCATGCGGGTGAGGATCACCGTGGCGAGGTCCTAGAAACCGCCTTTTCAGCCTTTAGGCCATATTCATGGCCAGGCTATATGGCGGCCCCTGGCAAGAGCCAGAGTAGGGCTTCAAATAACGAACAATTTCGTCCTAAAGGACGGGAATATATAACTTGTTGTTATGAGACCTAATAAAACGGACTATAACTGATCTTTCGAATCGGCAGGTTTGCTTTCGGAGATAGCAGACGACCCCTACAAGAGACGGCGGCGCTGGTAGAGGAGATCGTCCACCAGCAGATGGTTTCCATGGTAGGTACTGGATGGTTGGCATGATTGTTGATATTAACTCTTGCTTGACGGCGAGTTGATCATAACAGTACGTGTTTCTGTATTGTGTTCGGTTCACATTAGTGTGTGCAATTTTCTTGACATTATCAACAGCCAGTTCCAGAAAGGCCGTACAGCTTAACAGGAATTCCCGTTTTAGGGAGGCCGGTCAGTGCTCATCATTGTTACTACAGTTTCATTAACTTGCAACATATGTTATTGAATAAATTATCATTTTGAAGATAAATAAGTGGGCTATAAGGAAAAAAAAAAAGAACAACAAAAATAATAAGAGTAATAGCCCACTTTATTGCGAACTAATCAAACTTTGTTTAATTTATGTATAAATCTCTTCGGTAACAATGGTGAGCATCGATCGACCATCACTCAACACATTGGCAACTTTGAACCCCTCTTTTAACAAAAGTCAAAAGACAGAACATGCAGTAGAACGGACATGTAAGGAAATCTGACTGTCTCTCCAAAACGATTGCTGTAGAGAAGAAGAGGAGACGAGGAAGACCAATACAAACAAGAATATAGGATTTAGCTAAAAGCCCTCATATGTCGTGTCCATTGCATCTGACCGACAGAGATAGACGGACTGACCAGACAGGCATCAACCGGTGACCTAACAATGCATGGCGTAATGGGACTATTGTATGGTCAACATATGAATACGTTTTTTCATGACGTTGAATTTGTAAGTATATTGCTCTGAACATTGGCATGAGATTCCATCTTTCTGGAAATTGACTTTTGTTTATATCTTTCGGGATATTGACATGTGATCACATCTTTCGGGATTTTGACATATAATGACATCTTTCGGGATTTTGACATATTATGACATTTTTCGGGATTTTGACATGTGATCACATCTTTCGGGATTTTGACATATAATGACATTTTTCGGGATATTGACATGTGATCACATCTTTCGGGATTTTGACATATAATGACATTTTCGGGATTTTGACATATTATGACATTTTTCGGGATATTGACATGTGATCCCATCTTTCAGGATATTGACATATGATGAAATCTTTCAGGATTTTGACATGTGACCCCATCTTTCAGGATATTGACATATTAAGACATCTTTCGGAATATTGATATGTGATCATACCTTTTGAGATATTGATATGTGATCACATTATTCAGAATATTGACATATAATCCCATCTTTCTGGATACTGACACATGATCACATCTTTCTGGGGTGCTTTTATTTGTTTCACCCCGAACAGACAATCCAATATTTCAGGGGCTGGTAGATAGGCTGCATGCAGTCGTGGAACCTAGGCTGCACATCTTTCGTGGGACGAGGGTGGGTTGGGGTTAGGTCCAGTTCTAGATGTTTTGGGGTCGTTAAAAGCACTACACAGCTGGGAAACCCGGTCTTACCACCCTATAAAATATTAGACTGACCCCGTGACGTCATCTGTGGTGAATTATTACGAAAAAAACACCTTTCAGGATTTTGACATGTTATCGCGTTTTTCTGAAAATTGACATATGTAATCATATCTTCCTGGATATTCATAAGACATTGCATTTTTTTTTTTTTTACATTGACGTATTATTACGTCTTTTTTTTTTTTTAGGAATTGAGATGTGAGCACATCTTTCAGGACATTGGCAAATGATTATATCTTCCTTGACATTGACACCTGATCCTATCTTGTAAACATTGATATGTGATCACATCTTTCTGGACATTGACATATGATTACATCCTTCTAGACATTGATGTGTGATCGCATTTTTCCCGACAGTGACATGTCTTCACATCTTTCAGGACATTGGTATAGTCACATTTTTTCTGGAAATTCTTGTTATTTAATTTTTTTGGACAGTGGCTTGTGATCACATCATTCTATACATTGACATGTAATCACATCTTTCTAGACATCGATATGTGATCACATTTTTCCAGACATAGACATGTCTTCACATCTTTCGGGACATTGATATATTTTTCTCAAAATTCATGTTATTTAATTTTTCTAGGTAGGGGCTTGTGATCACATCGTTTTAGACGTTTACATGACCACTTTCTGGACATCGACATGTGATCCCTCGTTTTTGAAAATATCGACTTGTCTCACATCTTTAGGGACATTGACATGTGATCACATCTGTTTGCAAACACATGTCATTACATTTTACTGGACAGTGACATGCGATTACATCTTTTTTTAAGCATTGACGTCTGCAGGTCTTTCAGGGCAGCGACATGTGGTGGCCATCTTGTTAGACATTGACATGTAATTAAACCTTTATGTGGACATTGACATGTAATTAAACCTTTATGTGGACATTGACATGTAAGTAAACCTTCATGTGGACATTGACATGTAAGTAAAACTTCATGTGGACATTGACATGTAAGTAAAACTTCATGTGGACATTGACATGTAAGTAAACCTTCATGTGGACATTGACATGTAAGTAAAACTTAATGTGGACATTGACATGTAAGTAAAACTTCATGTGGACATTGACATGTAAGTAAAACTTCATGTGAACATTGACATGTAAGTAAAACTTCATGTGGACATTGACATGTAGGAAAACCTTCATGTGGACATTGACATGTAATTAAACCTTTATGTGGACATTGACATGTAAGAAAACCTTTATGTGGACATTGACATGTAATTAAACTTTTATGTGGACATTGACATGTAAGTAAACCTTCATGTGGACATTGACATGTAAGTAAACCTTCATGTGGACATTGACATGTAAGTAAAACTTCATGTGGACATTGACATGTAAGTAAAACTTCATGTGGACATTGACATGTAAGTAAAACTTCATGTGGACATTGACATGTAAGTAAAACTTCATGTGGACATTGACATGTAAGAAAACCTTCATGTTGACATTGACATGTAAGTAAACCTTCATATGGACATTGACATGTAAGTAAACCTTTATGTGGACATTGACATGTAATTAAACCTTTATGTGGACATTGACATGTAATTAAACCTTTATGTGGACATTGACATGTAATTAAACCTTCATGTGGACATTGACATGTGAATGCATCTTTGTAAGCACTGGCTTGAGCAGGTCTTGCAGGAGAGTGTCATGTGGTTCCCATCTTTTTGGACATTGACATGTGATTAAACACTTTTGTGGACATTGAAATGTGAATACATCTTTGTAAGTATTGATGTGAGCAGGTCTTTCAGGACAGCGACAGGTGATTCCATCTTTTTCTATATTGACATGATTACACCTTTTTGAGTACATTGAAATAACGCACAATTTTCTAGATATTGAAGCCGATCTCGAAGTTTTCACTATTGAACTTTGTGTTGTTTGTTGCAGCTGGAACAAGCCGCCGAAGTCGCCATTATCAGGGGAGACAAACATATTGGAATAGAAGATATTTTATTTCTGCTGAGGAAAGACAAAGTCAGTTAATGAACGGGATTCTTCCCAGTGTGTGTGTGTGTGTGTGCGTGCGTGTGTGCGTGCGTGCGTGCATGCGAGAGAGAGATAGATAGATAGATAGAGAGAGAGAGAGAGAGAGAGAGAGAGAGAGAGAGAGAGATCACATGCAAAGGTGTGCTCGTGTGTGATAATAGTTTTTTTTTTACTGATAGTTTGATAATGTGTACATTACTTTTTGTTTTCTCCACTATTGAACATGGGTAACAATACAAGCAAACCAAATTATAATCAATTTATATCTATCATCCCACGTGGGATGCAATTTTTCGTTATATTAAGCCACACCCTGGGTTTTGCCTGTGGGGCTGAATATAGCCATGCAATAAATATAATGAGAAGAGAGACATTGGAGAACATCGTGACAACTGGAAAGATCAGTGAAAAAAGGGGTAGAGTCAGACCAAGAAAGACAATGATGGATATGCTGAAACGATGGCATAGAGGAATATCATCAAGAGAGCTGTTCCATGCAACCAGTGATCATGATCTTTGGAGAGGCATGAGTGCCTGCGCCTACGCAGGGCACATGATGGTGATGATAAATATGGCGTAACGGCTGAAAGGGGTTTCTGGGACCTCTCCACGGGTAATCCTCATCCGCTTGGTGGCACTTTGTATCACCGGGTGTTAATCGCTTGTGTGATGTCCTGGTGGGTTACAACAATAGAGAGAGAGAGAGAGAGAGAGAGAGAGAGAGAGAGAGAGAGAGAGAGAGAGAGAGACTGCAGGCGCTGAAACTGTTGCACTATAATACTAGTAAATAATAAATGTGACAGGATCAGACACACACACATCCATGTCAGGAAGATCCTTTGTGGAATGTTTTCTTTCACCTTGGTGTGATTAAAAAAACAACAACTCCATCCTTAATCAGTTTCTTGCATATTCATGCCCAAAGTTAGGATGAGTTGAGTAATGAACCAGAATAACCGCACCCGCACCCTTCCATAAACTCTACATCCCCATCTTCAGCAGCCAGCTTCCCGTGCCAGGACCCAATTATAGTGAAAAGAGGAATCATCATTATCAGTCAGCGAGACCTCTTTACAGAACGTCGCTCTCTTCACGGTACGCGTGAAAGTGTCCCTTTCCCTAGCCAACTCTCCAGCCCCATGTGCTTTCAGTTCCAGTGCATCTTCAGTGTCCTGTATCCATCTTTGCGGAGGTCGAACCTGCCTCGCCTTCCAAAAACTGCACCCTGTAATACCATCTTTTCCAAGCCACCATGACGTTAGATGAGGCCAAAATATTAAACTTTCGGGACAGGATGCTGTTTAAAAAGAGGAGTATACCCACTGTTTTCCCATGTGGTGCTTAGAATACTCATAGTCATCATAATTCAGGTCATTGAGGTACATTTTAGCCAGCTGGTTTATGGATCCTCAAGCAAGACTCCTGCCACACGTCCTCGCCGTGCATCACAGATTAGACTATATCCTCACTTAGACATAATGGAAGCAGTCCTAGTGGTCGACAAAGCAGGCGATGGATAGATCAAATATCTGAGGCCAAATGTACCAGCCTCTTCAAAACCTGATACTGACAGGCGGAATAGGACTAGAGCAGAAGAAGAAGGAGAAGAAGAAGGAGGAGAAGAAGAAGAAGAAGAAAAAGAAGAAGAAGAAGAGTTAGCATCATTATTATCATATCATTATAATGCCCTGCCGGGCAGTGTAGGGGCTCATGTCTATCTGTAGAGCTCGGCCCGTAGTATTCTGGATCAATTCCTCCTTGCCCTTGCCTTGGGTCAGGGCTCTTCAAATGGTGGCCCACCTGTCAAAGTTGGTCCGTGAAAGCCTGGCAAATGGCCTGCGGATCATTGCCAGTTGTATTGCATTAATGATCTTTCTAAGCTGGAGCTCGGGCCTATAGGCCATGACAATCTTCACTTTCAGAACTGAAGCCCGCTAGTAATCTTAGTTGAATAGCCTAGCTTTAGGCCATCAGGCATAATTTCTCTTGGAATACTCATTTTCATTTAAGAGGTCATCATAATTACCCTTGATCTTTCCAGTAACTGATATTAGTAATATTATTTATGGCTAATTCTAAATGTGCATCACTTTATACGGAAGGAATACGTCAATGTTTTGTGAGATTTAAAACTTGTAGGAATTTTTTCTCAGGTGAAACTGAGGAGGTTGCTTCGCTTCTTTGAGGTCAGAGATATCAAAGCAATCATCAAAAGCACTCTTGGAGCACCAGAAGATGTTCCTGTAAAAAGTGACATTAACACTGGTAAGATCCATAAATATTTAGTGTATATGTTCAAGTGTTTAATCACAAAAAGATCTCTAGTTCGAGTTGTTCAGTCATGGCTAATTACGGTCTTTGCTTGTCTGCAGGCACGGGGGTCTTGTGTTCTTTTTCTTCTTGGCACTCACTGGCTGTAACCTCAGGCAAAAAGATCTGGTTTATCGTCCACTTCTGAATTTTGGTCTTAATCCAGAACTTGAGTTTTGGGTGCATATCTGTTTTACATATCTTTTTCATTCGTCTCCTACAACATGCTTGTTAGATGGCAGTTGGTTTCTTCTGTGTTGTCTAAAATGGAGACCAGTAACAGGGCCGTCTAAACAGCATATGGGCCCCTGAGCAAACCAGTGTGCTGGAGCCCCTATGATAGTCATCCACAGGAATGAAATTAAGTGGTCGATAATATTAAACATATATATATTGCACCTTAACAAAATTGGTATTAAAACATAAACAAAGATTAGATGGCACAGTATGAAATAACTACGAACTTCTTTTTATAACAAACATTTGCAGCATTTATGTTCACAGAATTTATTTATTACTGGCTTGAATTCAGTGGTCTTTGGGATGTCATTGTCCATGCACATGAGTGAAAGCTGGTTCAAAGGATGATGCCTTATTCTCTTATGAAGCAGATTGTTTTTTAAGTTTCAGTCTTGAAAAAGAACCTTCTGTACATTTAGCTATTATCAGGCACGTGAACACTCAACGTTCTGGAAAATTGATTTTAAATTATCAAAGAGGTTTTTTTTCTTTACAGTGCAGAGATGTGGTTTTACAGAAGAATGCTTAGAATACCTTGGACAGCCAAAAAGAGCAATCAAACGGTTTTGAAAGAGGCGGGAGCCCAAAAACAACTTATCACAGACATCAGAAGGAGACAGTCATCATTTTTCGGCCATGTTATGAGAAGAGGGAAAATAGAACATGCTGTGACCACTGGAAAGATCTGTGGAAGATAGGGATAGAGGAAGACATCGAGAGAAGATTTTTGACAGTCTTGTTGCATGGCAAGAAGGTGTGTCGGCACACGAACTGATACATGCTGCAGGAGATCGTAGATTATGGAGAGGCATGATTGCCAGCGCCAGTCAGCAAGGCACCTGATGATGATGACAGTGCAGAGAGAGTCTCGCAGTTTTCACTAAGAGCCATGAAGTGCTAAGGATACTCACATTAATTAAAAAGGCTGTCATAATTCATAAAAAGACGATCAGAGAATTTTGGAAGCTGCACATCCACATCTTTGCTAAGAGTGCAAGAATTGGGAGTAAAGATCGTCACAGCCAGGCTCGAGAAGCACACCGGACAAATAAGAAGCACACCAGACACACGAGAAGCACACCGGACAAACAAGAAGCACACCAGACACACGAGAAGTCTTGTCAACCAACATAGGACTAGGACTTGGGACTATCAGCTGCAGGACACTGATGTATAAGTTGTGAGGGGAATCTGAGCACATATGGACATGTCTAGAGTACCGGGAAGATAACCCAAATCATAACCTATAATTCAGGTCTTTGTGAAACATAGCCAGAAGCTCACACTTTGTGTTAGTGCATCAGAAACAATTATTTTCAATTCATCAAAGAAAGAAGACAGATTTTCAGTTTGCGAATAAGCTATTGCACGTATTCTTAGTTTAAAGATTAAAGTGTCCAGAACAGAAAACATTTCAACCTTGAACTATGTGGCTTTTTCAAAGAAGTGTCCCTTCTGGCAGTTCTGATGGTCCATCAAATTTATCAAATACAGACTTTGTTGTTTTTCTCATCCCCTGCATTTTCTTCCATCATTTTTAATCTGGTCACATACTCCTGGCCTTGAAATCATATTCACTCACTAAATCTACTTTCCTGGAGAAAGGTTTTCAAAGGCAAGAAGATCCACTGGCTGCTCATTGTCACCTGATGGAGAATGTGGTGAATGTTTTATATTTTAATGGAAACCCCAACACAGAGCATGTACAGTATCAAAATGTTCTGACCATCGTGCATTCAGATCGACGTTTGACCACACGCAGTCTCTTCCTAAAGATGGTGTCAATCGATTCTGCCCATGAACAGAACCAGAGAACATTGAATGGAGTCTGAACAAAGATAAAGAATTTTACAGACTGTAGAAAACCCTCTGCTGCTTCTAATCCCACCAAGTTCAGGCTGTGTCCAACCCAGGGATATAATGGCACACTCACTGATCTGATGAATCCTCTCTTGCAGTCCAACCCAGGGATATAATGGCACACTCACTGATCTGATGAATCCTCTCTTGCTGTCCAACCCAGAGATATAATGGCACACTCACTGATCTGATGAATCCTCTCTTGCAGTCCAACCCAGGGATATAATGGCACACTCACTGATCTGATGAATCCTCTCTTGCAGTCCAACCCAGGGATATAATGGCACACTCACTGATCTGATAAATCCTCACTTGCAGTCCAACCCAGGGATATAATGGCACACTCACTGATCTGATAAATCCTCTCTTGCAGTCAAACTCAGGGATTTGATGGCACACTCACTGATCTGATGAATTCTCGCTTGCAGTCCAACCCAGGGATATAATGGCACACTCACTGAGCTGATGAATCCTCTCTTGCAGTCCAACTCAGGGATATTATGGCACACTCACTGATCTGATGAATCCTCTCTTGCAGTCCAACCCAGGGATATAATGGCACACTCACTGATCTGATGAATCCTCACTTGCAGTCCAACCCAGGGATATAATGGCACACTCACTGATCTGATGAATCCTCACTTGCAGTCCAACCCAGGGATATAATGGCACACTCACTGATCTGATGAATCCTTGCTTGCAGTCCAACCCAGGGATATAATGGCACACTTACTGATCTGATGAATCCTTGCTTGCAGTCCAACCCAGGGATATAATGGCACACTCACTGATCTGATGAATCCTCGCTTGCAGTCCAACCCAGGGATATAATGGCACACTCACTGATCTGATGAATCCTCGCTTGCAGTCCAACCCAGGGATATAATGACACACTCACCGAGCTAAAGAATCCTCACATGCAGTCCAACCCAGAGATATAATGACACACTTACTAAGCTAAAGAATCCTCACTTACAGTCCAACCCAGGGATATAATGGCACACTCACTGATCTGATGAATCCTCGCTTGCAGTCCATTATATCACCCACAATTTTTGATGCATTATTGCATGACTGACCCTGGTATTTAGATAGTGAAATTTTGTTCTCATTAGGACAGTCAGCAGTTGATTAGAGTCAAGAATTGACATCACAACACTCAGGGCATTCCCATGCGTGCTCTGTCCTCATCTTCAGCAGCCAGCGCAGAGTTCCAATACTGATGTTATAGGTCACAATTTGGTTATGTGCCCATCTTGCCTTTCCTCTGAGTGTAGTGAGCCGACCAGACCCCCTGGTTACACCCAGGTGTCTTATTCTCTCCAGGCCATAATAATCTTCTATCTCTACTGATTCCGTTGCTTGTTCCCAAAGAGATTTATGAGACAACATAGAAAGAGAACTGATCTGTCAGCTTAACAAAGTCTCTGAAAACAATCAAATCTTTTTTTCAGTGGATCCTAGCTCATTGCGACATACCAGTAAAATGAATTGGCGGACAGACTTGCAGAAAAATGGAACAAAGGAGAAACAACACACCAGTTCATTGGTATTACCAGAAATCAAAACACTTATCAAGGGAAAATACAAAGAATTGTGGAGAGAACAAACCTACAGTAAACATCTACAAGACCCCATCAGCAGACTCAGTGAAGGCAACATACGACTGTTTTCCTCGAACAACAGGACACTGCAAGGTCAGCTGCCACATGCAAGACTGTAAAGCCCCCACAGTGTGGATGTCAGATGGAAATACAAACACCTGAGCACATTCTGCAGGCCTGCCCACTCTACCTACAACTACAAAGAGAACCTGGCCTCAAGAGCAAAGTGGGCAGAGCAAGTTATGGGGAACCACGAAGGACCTGCTACTGACATGCGAGTTCATAGAGGCAGCCCACCTGACGGTCTGACCTGAGCATACGAAACCGAACGCAAAGAAGAAGAAGAAGAATTTACTTAAGGGTCTATTGGCCTAAGATTCTCCCGAACAGGGAGTTCTTATTGTCTAATCTGCATCTACCCTGGGATTGTAGAGGAAACCAGCCTAACCTGTGTCCCAGGAAGTCACCTTGATTTGATAGTGAACCAACCTAAACCTTGTACGAGGAAGTCACATGGGATTTTATATGCAACCAGCTTAAGCTATGTATCAAAGTCGCCATGGATTTTAGAGGGAACCAGCCTACCTTTTGTATTAGAGTCACCAGGGATTTTAGAGGGAACCAGCCTACCATGTGTATTAGAGTCACCAGGGATTTTAGAGGGAACCAGCCTAATATGTGTATTAGAGTCGCCATGGATTTTAGAGGAACCTGTCTACCCTGTGTATTAGAGTCACTAGGGATTTTAGAGGGAACCTGCCAAAAATGTATATCAGAGTTTATCAGGGATTTTAGAGGGAACCAGCCTACCATGTGTATTAGAGTCGCCAGGGATTTCAGAGGGAACATGCCTACCATATGTATTAGAGTCACCAGGGATTTTAGAGGGAACCAGCCTACCATGTGTATTAGAGTCACCAGGGATTTTAGAGGGAACCAGCCTACCCTGTGTATTAGAGTCACCAGGGATTTTAGAGGGAACCTGCCTACCCTGTGTATTAGTCACCAGGGATTTTAGAGGAAACCTGCCAAAAATGTATATCAGTCACCAGGGATTTTAGAGGGAACCAGCCTACCATGTGTATTAGAGTCGCCAGGGATTTTAGAGGGAACATGCCTACCATGTGTATTAGCGTCACCAGGGATTTTAGAGGGAACCAGCCTACCATGTGTATTAGAGTCTCCAGGGATTTTAGAGGGAACCAGCCTACCCTGTGTATTAGTCACCAGGGATTTTAGAGGGAACCAGACTAAAATGGAAAGCATGAAATATCCCAGAAAGCTAAGGTGTTCGGCATGATGTTGACTACATCAGCTATTGAATGCTGAGTGTTCTATAAAAATATGCTTTATCTGTCATGTGCATGAAACATGTCCTTTGCTTAATTTACCAACAGCATAGACTGTGAGTTTAACTTGACTTTAACTGTGAGTTTAGCATGTGAAGTACCTCTAGAAGTGTTTGTGGTTTTCTTGCAGCCTCCGTGCAAGAACAGCAGCTCCTGGATACAAGAATCATGGGCAGAAACAAGCAGATCTGCTACAACTTCCTGACCTCCATAGATCAGACAGGTACGTCTCCTCGCTGTTGTCACTTCTTAGTAGAACTGATGCAGTTTGCAGCTAAGCGGTCAAGTTGTTTGCCTCTTGCTGTGTAAATCATGGGTTTATTTCATGGACTGCATTGTTTGTTCCACGGGTGCGGTAGTTTATGGGGATCTGATGGGATAGTCAATGGAGCTAGAGAACTGGTGCTTTGTGCAACACTTTTTTCATGATAGCAGGAAAGTTGTGATTACCCAAGTGCAATGATCCTTTTGACTTTAATTTTAACTCCTATGCCGATCAGGCACATAATGTGAACTTCATAAAGTCCATGCCCTGTGACACTGGTAGTCATGTCTGTTCTCAGCCTTCTGTCTCATGTATGTTTAACTCTTTCAGTGAGGAATTGAAAATAAGAAGCAACAGCGAAATTCAGAATCTGTTTAAATCACCATTGATCACTGGCATCATAAAAGCTAATAGACTGAAATATCTGGGGCACATTGAGAGAATATCTAGACTGAAATGGCTAGGGCTTATTGAGTGAATATCAGATGACAGAGAGGTAAAAAAACTGTATACATAAGGGGACTGATGTTCATAGATCAGGAGGTAGACCAAGAAGACGATGGAGAGATAATGTCCAGACACGCCTACAGTCACTTGGTATCACCAACTGGAAAGAGAAAGCCACTCAGACTAATGTATGGAGTCGGGTGAGATCTGCATCAATGAACTTCAAGAAGAATGAGATTCTCAGTATTCGCCTATAGATCTACGTCTCTACAGCTTCCACATGGCGTCCATAAACGAATGTTTGCTACCGTAAACAGCTTAAAAAGGGTAGGGGGGGGGGGGGGCTGCATGGTCTCCAGTCATCTTTGCCTCGAGTGCTGAAGGTTCCGGGTACAATCCCTAGTAAAGGCTGGGATTTTTTCACGTGGACTTGGACTTCTAGTAATTCCCCCTGGTTACTGGGTAGTCAGATCAGATGCCTGTGTGCATTGTTGCGCACGTAAAAAATCCCTTGGCAGTTGGAAATCGAAAAGAGTAGCCTAACGGCGCTGACCGGGCAAAATTGGGAGTTAAAAATCTACGCAAGGTATTTCAGGATACTCCCTGGTGCTACGGAGTTCATGCACTGTGCTAAGCTTCTTTGGACTTGACTTGAATTAAAAGTAGAACGGAGCACTTATGTCTTACTACCCTTGTGCCGTGATGTTGATCTACTGTTTAAACCTAAACTGCTGTTTTAATAAATGTTTGTTTCCCATTCAACCTTGACAGGTGAGCTGGTTGCCTTGTTTGATGATAAAGAAATAGACACCATCAAACATGAACGACTGCTGGTAAGTTGAAGCAGTTCATTATGTTTGTTGTATCTTTGACTGTTGGTAAATTGAAACACTAACAGTCAGTGTTTGTTTACCAATATATCTTAAACAGTTGGTAAGTTGAAACAGTTTACAGTCAATAGTTGTATAACAATATGCCTGACTACTGGTAAGTTGTAGATAATGTATTGTATCTTTTGATTGAAGATGCTCTGATATTCCTGTTTGATCAAATGTTTTTTTAATTTTTTTTTTATTTTACGTTGACTGAAGATACTAAGATCCTGTGTTTTTTAACACAGCAGTTTTAATATCCTTCCATTGATTGATGATAGTGTCTAATGTCTGAATACTAAATTGCTCTTGTTTTTTTAAATGTACGGTGACTCTCCTTGGCTCTAGTCATGCAGCCTTCTCACACACATTGACAAATACTTCAGTACATAATTCTTGAAATACGAACACTGAACAGCTGATAACAACTCTATTTTATTGTTTCAACGATGTTCTTCTGTCAGTGCTCAAGAAGTAGAGTGTCTAGGATACATCTACACCTAACATTACTTTTCGTTACCAGCTCAAGGTATTTAAATAAAACACTTCCAACCTTTGACACTTTATAGATTTGACTCTTCAATCCTCAACAGTTTGCATTCAGAATCACGCGCACGATAGATAATGGCATTCAGCCATTTCAAGATGTCTGGCTAAACAAGATGGCTATGTTTTCTCAGGAACCACTGTCGACGCTTGAGCATACATTCACTTGCTTAAAGATTCACTCGACTTTCACCCTCCCACCATAAATAAGATCGAACTTCTCTCAGGATAAAAAACAAGATTGAGCTGTCTCATTCACTCATGGCTTAAACAGCCTCTTCCTTTTTCCCGTAAACTTCAAAATTATTCTCATATATGCATTCTTTCATCGCTTGGCATGCTTCGGCTAAACTGCACAAACTTTCTGCTTGCCTCAGTTTGACATTCAATTTGTTCCCACAATTACCACCAGTTCGTATTCTCATAAGTAATTTATGCTTAGTAAAAAAAGAAAAAGGAGAAAATGGCCACTTACAATATGCTTAGGTGGAAGAGAGTGGATGGGGTTTGAGAGTAAGAGAGTCAGACAGTGGATGGGGTTTGAGAGTAAGAGAGACAGACAGTGGATGGGGTTTGAGAGTAAGAGAGACAGACAGTGGATGGGGTTTGAGAGTAAGAGAGACAGACAGTGGATGGGGTTTGAGAGTAAGAGAGACAGACAGTGGATGGGGTTTGAGAGTAAGAGAGACAGACAGTGGGTGGGGTTTGAGAGTAAGAGAGACAGACAGTGGATGGGGTTTGAGAGTAAGAGAGACAGACAGTGGATGGGGTTTGAGAGTAAGAGAGACAGACAGTGGATGGGGTTTGAGAGTAAGAGAGACAGACAGTGGATGGGGTTAGAGAGTAAGAGAGACAGACAGTAGATGGCGTTTGAGAGTAAGAGAGACAGACAGTGGTTGGGGTTTGAGAGTAAGAGAGACAGACAGTGGATGGGGTTTGAGAGTAAGAGAGACAGACAGTGGATGGGGTTTGAGAGTAAGAGAGACAGACAGTAGATGGCGTTTAAGAGTAAGAGAGACAGACAGTGGATGGGGTTTGAGAGTAAGAGAGACAGACAGTGGTTGGGGTTTGAGAGTAAGAGAGACAGACAGTGGATGGCGTTTGAGAGTAAGAGAGACAGACAGTGGATGGTGTTTGAGAGTAAGAGAGACAGACAGTGGTTGGGGTTTGGAGTAAGAGAGACAGACAGTGGATGGGGTTTGAGAGTAAGAGAGACAGACAGTGGATGGGGTTTGAGAGTAAGAGAGGCAGACAGTGGATGGGGTTTGAGAGTAAGAGAGACAGACAGTGGGTGGGGTTTGAGAGTAAGAGAGACAGACAGTGGATGGGGTTTGAGAGTAAGAAAGACAGACAGTGGATGGGGTTTGAGAGTAAGAGAGACAGACAGTGGATGGGGTTTGAGAGTAAGAGAGACAGACAGTGGATGGGGTTTGAGAGTAAGAGAGACAGACAGTGGATGGGGTTTGAGAGTAAGAGAGACAGACAGTGGATGGGGTTTGAGAGTAAGAGAGACAGACAGTGGATGGGGTTTGAGAGTAAGAGAGACAGACAGTGGATGGGGTTTGAGAGTAAGAGAGACAGACAGTGGATGGGGTTTGAGAGTAAGAGAGACAGACAGAGGAGGCGAAAAGAATTTTCTGCTTTCTTGTATTTCCTTGCATTGTGAATAGGCCATCAACCAACTCATACCAAGTGGTTTGTAGACTTCTCCCTGATTAGCTGAATTTGGTTTTCTTTACTAATGAATTACAGTCACAACGAACGAACGACTTTTATTGAAGAACTAAGAACAGTGGTGGGCGCAGGTTCGATAAATGGTTTCGCAGAATGTCAGAGAATCAAATGGTTTGGTTATCTGGTCAAAACAGAATAAAATCATCCAGACAATAAGTCAAGAGGCTGACCAAGAAAGATAAGGTTGTAGGAAGTAAAAGATTTAGTTTAGAAACTCAGTATGACACCAACACAAGCTGCACAACAAGTAAAAACCAGGAAACTGCATCTAATGTCTGCCTCTCTGTAATATTTTACAGCCTAAGCAGTAAAACAAAATAAGAAGAATAAGAAGAAAGCTAATGACTCAGGCTCGGAGGCTTCACCTAATACACAGAGTTGGTATGCTAATCTATTTGTTGGGCAGGTAAACTGATCCACTGACATAATTATTGTTACCAGACAATGATCTTGGATGGAGACATGGTAGCGCAATAACTGGATGCTTGCCTTCTGGTCTAGGCTTCAGATCTGCATCATGGAAGATTGTTAAAAATATATATAATAAAACATTAGATTCAAGGTCATCCAGGTAGTGTCATAGGAAGAAAAGTTGGCGAGCATGAATTTGACCCCACCACCCACAGGTGCCGACCGGTCTATCCCAGTATAAGCCTAGCATCATATGCTTGATCGACCAGTGATGTGAAAAGGGTCATAGTCTGGTAGTAGTGATCCTAGTTCAGCACTGAATAATCAAAATAAATGTCTCTATGCTACCTGGGTGAAGCTGACCTAGTCTTATCTCTTTCAGTACCGGAAGGTCATAGCTGTTGACTAAAAAAAAACTAAATAAGGTAATAGGGACAGCAACAGAATCATAGATATGCTACATCCACAGGCGCTCAATACAAAAACCTTCTCGGAGTCTGGTGTGTTGTTGTGTATTTTACTGTGCTCTCTCTGAACATAAAATATACAAACGTAAACATATTTTGACTGGTAAGGTTTGAGGTGTGAACAACGGATCAACATCATGGCACAGGGTAGTAACTCATAAGTGCTCCGTTCTTCTTCTAACTCAAGTCTGAGTCCCAAGAAGCTCAGCACAGTGCACAGGCTCTGTAGCACCGGCGAGGATCCTGAAATACTTTTGGGTAGATTTTTAACTCAAAATGTTTGCCCATGCAGGGCTACTGTTTTTAATTTCCAACTGCCATGAGTTTTTTTTTGCATGCGCAAAAATTCACACACAAGTCCGATCTCACTACCCAGAGACCAGGGGGAATTTCTATAAGTCCAAGTTCGTGTGAAAAATCCCAGCCCTTACCAGGGGTTAACCCCGGAATCACTAGGACTCGAGGTGGACAGCATACCTCGAAACCACGAAGCCCCCTGCATTGACTGCTGCATATAAATAAATACAGTCAGTCACACATAATGCACTGTTTGGTGCTAAAAGAGAATTATATAATGGAGACAGACAGTTTTATGACAATCGTGTTTGAATGGAAATGGTCAATACGTGTGTTAAAGCCACATCTCTGAGGAGCACAGACATACACTGTCTCCAGTGATCTACCCAATAACTGATGATCAATATTATGTGATTATCAGAGAGCAGAAATCCAGTCCCAGGGCATGAATGTGGACCAATACATGGAGTTCTGCCAGGCCAGGCAAGCCAGTTTTGGTAAGCTGTTTATAACCTTTTCCCTGTTTGCTGATTCTCCAGCAGCGTTCTTATTTTAGCACTTTTTTGATAGATCAACTCACTGTATTCAGATAACTGCTGCCTTATTGCTTAGACTCACAGAAGTGATACACACACATCACATACACACACATATGCTCACACATGCACACGCACACACACACACACACATATATATATAAATACAAGTATATACTGTCTCTGTGGCGTCCGTGGGTTAGGCGTTGTGAATCTGACTCGTAATTCCAACCTATCGCAATCAAAACCCACTGCTGGCTAAGTGGATTTTTTTAATGGTATAGGGCGTCGCAGGTCGACCCAGTCTAACATAGGTGCCAGGATGGCTGTCCTGGGGAAATAAAGACGGCCGGCGAATGCTGACCACATTACCCACCTAGTGCTGGTTGGTCTGTAAAATTATGGGATGCTCTTACTATATGCCCCATGCGCCTAAGGCATGAAAATGGATCTTTGTTTTTTTTTGTATTGACAGGAGGGTCTTTGAGCCTTAGGATTTAGGGCCGCATGGCTAGTGCTCTTGCTACAGACTGTGCAAGTTTAGATGTTTATTTCTACCCCTGACAGAAAAAACTACCACCCACCTACCTGGGGTCGAATTCGGTTTTTAAATGTTATAGATTGAAATAAACTGTTTGGTAAATTTAACATCATAATAATCTGCCATCATCCTCATAGTCAGACAGTGGTCTTCGCTTTTGCGTTCTCTGATTTTAGCAATGAATCTATCATTACGAACAAAAATTCAGGTAGGTAGGTAGGTAGTTGTACCCCACCAGGACATCACACAAGCGATAAACATCCGGTGACCCAAAATGCCACCATGCGGATGAGGATCACCCGTGGAGAGGTCCCAGAAACCCTATTGTCAGACCATATCTATGGCTTAGGCCACATCTGTAGGCTGGCTATATTAAGGGCCCTCGGCAGAAGCCATAGTGGGGCTTCAAATACCGAAAAAATTTCATCACAAATGGCGACAGAAATGCAGTGTCCCAGCTCAACTTCATCTTCAGTCTGTTCCACACCAGTTTTGATTGGTGAATACTACCTCTTGCATGAGCTCAACACTAACCCTCACAAACTTGTCCCATCAGTTAGCTGTCTCAAGAGCACTTTCCAAAGTTTGAAACAGAATTCCTTTTTTCCATCATTTCAATAATCTCTTCTGTTTTATTTCCCAGGCCAGCGGTGTTAAGTGTTGCAATCTTGTATTTCGCTTTTCTGTCTCGTAGTCCCTTAACATTGCCATGGTCAGATACCGTTTGATCAGTCCGTTTATATCTCATTGTGTTTTCTGTAGCGATAATAAATCCATTGCCGGCTTGCTAGGCATGGAGGGAATACTTCAATGAGTTTTTAAATCCTCTAGGAGATCATCAGGAAAGAACAACTGAAGAGCACAGAGCAACAGTGTTAGAACCACACATACTAATGGATGAAATAGAAAAAGTCATTAAGCAGTCTCCCAAATATAAAGCACCAGGAGCTGATAGATTACCAACAAAAATAATTCAAACAGCAGGTGAAAGCAGCATCAGATGGCTTCACAGAATATTTAATTCAGCATGGGTACAACAAACTGCCCCTATTGATTGGCAACATGCAATAGTTATACCATTGTGGAAGAACAAAGGAAGCAAACGAGAATGCGGTCAATACCGAGGCATCTCTCTTTTAAGCCATGTTGGCAAAATGTATGCCAAGATAATAGAAACAAGACTGAGACCAGTGATAGAACCACAGCTGGCAGAAGAACAGATGGGATTTAGGAGAAATAGAAGCTGCACAGATGCAATCTTCACACTTAAACAGTTAATAGAAAAGAACATTGAATACAATAATAACTTATTTGTGGCCTTCGTAGACCAGGAGAAGGCATTTGACAGAGTCGACAGACAATTATTATGGAAAGTAATAGCAAGATATGGAGTAAGCGAACACCTCATCGAAGTGTGCAAAAGTTTATACAGGGATTGTAGAAGTGTAGTTAGAATAAATCAGGGAACATCTCATCCATTCACAGTAACATCTGGAGTAAGACAGGGGTGTGTCTTATCGCCACTGCTGTTTATCACCTACATCGACAGTATATGCAAGAATGCCAAGCCCATGAATGAAAATGTTAGTAAGATCAACGAATTACTCTTTGCAGATGACCAGGCCTTGATAGCAGATACAGCCATGAAATTGCAACAACATCTAACATCCATGAATGAAGAATGTAAAACAAATAATATGAGAATCAACACTGAAAAGACAGAAGTAATGTCAATAGGAAAAAAGAAGACAGATCTAAACATAGCAATAGAGAACAAAGGCATTAAACAGGCATCTGAGTTTAAATATCTGGGAACTACTTTTACCGAAGATGGGAAATTGGATAAAGAAATTAAGATTAGATGCAGTAAAGCAAACCAAGTATTGGGACAGCTAGCCCCCCTCTCACAGCATAAGACAATCCCAATCAGCACAAAGAGACATCTTATTCAAAGCATATTTATTCCAACTCTATGCTACCAGTGCCAGACATGGTCACTCACAACAAACCAAAAAAGAAAATTAGTAACCATGGAAATGAGATGTCTGAGAAGGGCTGTAGGAGTGACTATAATAGATAAGATCAGGAGTGAGATCATAAGAGAAAAAAGTCGGCACAGAACCAATTCTAAATTACATACAAAGACAGCATCTGAAATGGTTTGCCCACTTAGAGAGAATGCCTCGTGACACCATACCATGCAAAGCATACATGGAAAGAGAAGAAAGTCTTAGAGCAAGAGGTAGACCAAGAACAAGATGGAAGGATAAAATCAGAGAAGCTCTACAACAGCACAATGTGCCTATGGTCGAGGCGGCCAGAAGAGCCAGAAACAGAACCTTATATCTCCCTCGACACCCACAGCGGTGAAGAAGAAGAAGAAGAAGAAGAAGAAGAAGAAGAAGAAGAAGAAGAAGAAGAAGAAGAAGAAGAAGAAGAAGAAGAAGAAGAAACAGAATTCGTATTCACTCCTGGCTCCATGATTTATTCATAACAACTTTCACTAGCTAAACAAAACAGTGGATTACTTGTCATCTGCTGACCGACAGCGTTAGAATTTTGCCACAACGTAGATAAATGATTCCATTTTGGATGACATGCTTTGTTTAATTGGTCGCGTTGTTGTGTTAACCATAATACGATTAATCTGACTATTTAAATGTCAAATTGCTTTTTCGATTTGACACTTAAATATATTATTGATTATTTTTATCAATTAAGTGGTAGTAATTAGTCTTAATTTTTGTATGCTGCAAAGGAGCTGCCCGGGCAAAATTTGGTGTTAATAATCTACCCAAAAAGTATTTCAGGATCCTCACCGGTGCAACAGAGTTCGTGGACTGCGTTGAGATTCTTCGTACTCAGGCTTGAGTTAGAAGAAGAACGGAGCACTTATGGGTTACTGCCCATGTACAATGATGTTGATCCGTTTACACATTCTGGAAATTATCTGATAAAGTATGAACAATATTTCCAGGTCGTCGATATAAAACTCAGCGTTTCCGGGACTGGCTGCTAGCAAACCAAAGCCCAGAGCTTGTACCGAATGCAGCTGCCTTAGAAATCTTCAGTTACCTGGCATATGAAACTGTGGCCGAGGTGAGTCGGTATGTTAACTGTCGTGAAAAGATATAAAACCAGACCGATAGTAGAGCCAGTCAGCTTCACAATATCATAAACACAAGCGACAAGATAACGTTGCAGCTAGAAAGCCTTCATCAGCACGTTACATAAATCTACAATACCACAAATATCAACAAGAATTCACAAATCATATAAATGACGTTTCTTCAATAGAAATCATGTTTATCGGGGTATGTTAAGTGGGAAGTTTTTAAATTCTGCTTCTAGCCATAGTGTTAGTTGAATCGGCATCTTAACCTAAAAGTTGAACAAAGAAAAAAAATCACCAGAGCGTCTGGGAGGACGGGTAGCTGCAAAAAAAAAAAAAAAAGAACAAATTCACCACCCAGGCCACAATGGGCTACAATCTGGTATCAGTGAGACCACAAAATAAAAAAAAAAAACAAAGTGACACATGTGGCTTTGGTGTTATGAATGCAGCTTCACAGTTCCGACATATCAGGTTTCAGTGTTAGCTGTTGATAATTTGGTTGCAGTCCACTTTCCGTTGATTTTGAAAACAGTGTGAGTGTTGCACAGTTGAGAAAGCAGAGGCAAACTGCTATATGCATCACTGCCCAGCAAAACTCCGAAACTGTTAATAAAATGCTGGTGTTTAGTGAAACATGTGTTTATTTGCATCTTATTAACTATCAATTTGATGTTAGGAGATAAGTTGCAAATTGATCTTTTTTTTTCTGCTTCTTCTTCTTCTTTTTCTGTCTCTCTTACTCTTTATCCTTCTTCAGATTCCTCTTCTTCTCCTACTCACTGTGGTCCATACCAGGTGGTTTGGCTTGTCATGTTTTTCTTCTTCTTCTTTCGTTTGCCTGAAATAGCTTATCTATATTTGCAATGTTGTCTCTAGTATGAACTTCACTGTCTTTTGTAATTCATTCAGCGACCCGTAAAGTTTGACTTGCACCGATGTTTCTCTTGGCAAAAAGTTTTGCCTTGATATGTTGTATGTGGGACAGTCTTGGAGGACATAATCTGTGGTCTCAGGTGCCAGTCCACATGTGCACATGGGGCTTATCATGTCAACCTTCTGTCTCATGCACTGGTTATTGTGTTTGATACAGATTTTTTTTTGCATGACTTGACTGTGTAACATCTTTTCTTTTTATCTCCCAGTGGCTCTCTTTAACCTTCCTGTTGTCGTACAACTCCAGTTTTCACGTTCTCCTGACATTCCCAAAGAATGTGGACTGTCTTGTTCTGAAAATTTTCAGCTTCCTCTCAAAACCACATCAACACTATCTTCAGTATATGTTATATTTAAGTGTAAAGTCCAAGTAAATGCATTGACCTATTCATATTCAAGTGCTAAACTTTATTCCCCCCCCCTCCAACACACACTCACTCTCTCTCTCTCTCTCTCTCTCTCTCTCTCTCTCTCTATATATATATATTTATATAAATCATATCTGTGGCTAAGTCGATGCGAATATAAATATTATATAATGCTGGGATGCCGGGTATATATTATATATATAGCTGCGGGCCATGGCCGCCTTGCGTTTGGTTTCGACAGTTGTATCAAGAAAGTTGACCGTCCAGAAAGCAATGGTAAACTACTGGACGTAAATTTGCCTAGAAAAACCACACAACAGGGGCTGTTGGGGTTGGTTCTGCAACGTCCTGTACAGGATACACACACACGCACACAAAATATATATATATATATAAATATGTATATATATATATATATATATATATATATATATATATATATATATATATATATATATATATATATATATATATAAATATGTATATATATGGTTAGATATATTTTCTGCATATTGAAGTGGCTTTAATCCTGCTTTGCCCAGAAAGAGCATGGCTGATACCCACCAGGTAGCACCATGTTTTCTTCAACACATGACTCAGTATATTCATGTTTTGTCTTTCTGTTTCTGCAACATGTAGATTGTAGATTTAGCACTGCTTGTCAAGCAGGACATGAGAGCACACCCAGGAGATGCTTTGAGTAAAACCAGACCAGCTCTGTGTATCAACTACACAGAACTCTATGTGGGTAGCCTGTTTGGGAAGTCAGAAACCATCACCGCTCCTTCGCAGGTTTGTTTTATTCTTTAAAAATACAACTGTTCTCTTATTGTCTGGTTCTCTGAAAACATGATTGCTGTTATACAAATTTATCTCATTCTAAGAGAATATCACTGCTCTCTAATAAGCTTGGTCGGCTCTGTGGTTAAGTCGATGCGAACGCTTCGTAGTGCTGGGTTGCCGGGTTCTGTCCCAGCTGCGGGCCATGCGCCCTGCGTTGATTTCGACAGTGGTATCAGGGGGCCGACCGTCCAGAAAGCAATGGCAAACTACTGGAAATAAATTTGCCTAGAGAAACCACACAACAGCCAGGGGCTGCTGGGGTTGATTCTGCAATGTTCCGTAAAGGATACGCAACTAACCTTATAATCTAATAAGCTTGTCCTATTCTCTACACTTGTGTACAAACATTCTCTGGATAAACATCATGATTCTAAATTATTGTGATCAGTAGAAAAGCAACAGATAATCAGGTATTTATCTGTTTTTATCTGAGGGAGAATGACCTCATACTTATTTTAAACTTGTTACTGAAATAAAAACTGCACACACACACACACAAATTTGTTGACTGGGAGAAGAACACAAAACAGACCAAGAAGACAGTGAAGGGATAATATAGAGGCAGACCTACACACACCTGGAGACACAGAGATGAACGGAGGTGGATGATATCTGCAGCAGTAAACTTAAAGGGCTTTGAATGCTTGAAGAAGTAGAGGAGAAGTTAAATAATTATTGATTATTTAACACTGATACCCCTAGAAGGCTAAATGTAGTCACTGTCATCTGTGATACAGCTTGACAAATGCTGATATAATGCAACTTCTGCAGTGACTTGTTTTGTAAAATCATATTTAAATTCCACTTTTTCTATGTTTGCTTGTTTAGGATTTGAGGGTCTAGGGATGTAAATATATTAACTAAAAATTTCTTCTTTTTCTGCCTTTCTATCCCCCAATGGAGCGTAGGCCCTCAACCAACTCACGCCAAGTCGTTCTATCCTTCGCCATTGCATAGAGCTCTCCCCCATGTCCTCCCCATCTTTCTAACTTCATTTTCCAGCTCTCTTCTCCATTTGTTTTTTTTTGCCTTCCTTTATTTCTACGCCCCTGTGGGTTCCAATGCAAAGACATTCTAGTTATGCTGTTATCCTGTTTTCTCAGTGTGTGCTTTATCCAACGCCAGCGTCTTTTCCTCACCTCTTGGTCCACTGGAGCCTGTTTAGTTCTCTCCCAAAGTTCTACATTAGTTAATCTATCATACCTTTTAATTCCCTCTATTCTGCGCAGGCACCAGTTAATGAATGTCTGTAATTTATTAGTAATTGCCTTAGTTGTTCTCCATGTTTCCGCCCCATACAATAGTACTGATTTGACATTAGAATTAAAAATTTTTAGTTTAGTATTTCTTTTAATTTCTTTTGACCTCCACAAATTCCCTAGTGCTATGAAAGCCCCTCTTGCCTTTTGTATTCTCATTTTAATATCTCTATCAGTTCCTCCATCTTTAACTACATTACTGCCTAAATAGGTGTACGACTCCACGTCTTGGAGTGGGGTGCCATTAAGAGAAACCATATTACTATTTGCCTGATTTATTCTCATTATCTTTGTCTTTCTTTTATGGATTTTCAGACCAAGCTGCTGTGATCTTGCATCAAGTATATTTAATGTATCTTGCATCTGATTCCGTAAATGGGACAGAAGAGCAATATCATCAGCGAAGTCCAGATCATCAAGCTGTTTTGTAGGGGTCCACTGAATTTCATTCTTGGTGTTAGCAGTTACTGTTTTTATAGACCAGTCTATAGCCAGTAAAAATAAGAGAGGTGACAAAAGACATCCCTGTCGCACACCCGTTTTTATTTCAAATGCATCTGTTAGCTTTCCCTCATGAATAACTCTACATTTCATGTCTTTATATGTTGCCTTTCTCTTCTCTTCTGCCTTTCTATCCCCCAATGGAGCATAGGCCCTCAACCAACTCACGCCAAGTCGTTCTATCTTCGCCATTGCATGGAGCTCTCCCCATGTCCTCCCAATCTTTCTAACCTTATTCTCCAGCTCTCTTCTCCATGTGTTTTCTGGCCTTCCTTTATTCCTATGCCCCTGTGGGTTCCAATGGTGCCTTTACTAAGTTGATAATTTTCAGTGGGATTCCATAGTGCCCCATCAATTTCCAGAGATTCCCTATCAATGCTGTCAAATGCTTTTTCAGTCTATAAATCCAATGTAAAGTGGTGAGTTCAGTTCAATGCTTTGCTCTATTATAATACGTAATGTGGCTATCTGGTCAGTACAGGATCTGTTTGACCGAAAATCTGCCTGCTCATCTCTTAGCATTTTATCAATAGCATCTTTTAATCTTTCCAAAATAACTCTACTTAATATTTTTCCCAGAACTGACAGCAACATAATTCCTCTATAGTTTCCACACTCCTGTAGATCACCTTTTTTGGGCAGTTTCACAAGATACTTCTCTCAAGTCTGCTGGTATTTCTTCGGTCTCCCAGACTTTACTGAATAATCTATGTAGCGATTCTGTTGATGTGTTTATGTTGGCCCTGATGGCTTCAGCTGGGATATCATCTGGGCCTGTCGCCTATCCTTCCTTGAGAAGATTGATAGCTTTTCTAATTTTCTCTTTGGATGGTATCTCACAGTTGATATCCAGTTCCATTTCTAAAGGCTGGATATCTAGGGGAACCCCTGGGCCTGGTCTATTTAGAAGCATTTCAAAATATTCAACCCATCAGTCCATTTGATCTTTAGTGTTAGTAAGTACATTTCCTTGACCATTTTTGATTGATCCAGTTGGCTGACTATATTTACCTACTAATTTTCTTGTGTTACTGTAAAGTTCTCTGAGGTTTCCTTTTGCTGCTGCTGTCTCCGCTTCTTGTGCTAGATCATTTAGATATTTCACTTTATCTGCCCTTAAAGCTAAAATTTTCTAACTAATAAATACAACTGGAAGGAGGGGGGGGGGGGGGGGGGGGGAGAGGAGAACTGGGCTTCCTTTTGACTCCAAAATCTTTTTTAAAACCAAGTTGATGTCCAGGAAGTTAAACTGGTCAAAAAATGCTTGATGAAGTCAGATTAGTTGGCCAAAAGGCAAAAATTTCGCTGCTTTGCTGTGAACCGGCACAATGCAATTGCGTCACTTGGACCAACGAAAAAAGAAAAAGTAGAAACCAAGTTGATTTAATTCGCAATAAACCTCAGTAATGGGGTTGTGGAGTCACTGATAAGTCACTGAATACAAATTGTTTTTAGGCCCCAAGGAATTGATTCCACTTAATGCTTCAGTATGTTTATGTTTATTAATTACCCATTTTATCTTTCTATATTTCAAAACATTTTTTAAATTATAGACACAAACATTTAAAAAAAAAAATGTGTTAGTAAACTTGCGAAATGCTTATTTTTTAAAACAAATTTTTGTCCAGGAATTCACATGTGTTCATGAGCTATTAATTTTTGTAGCGCACTCAGGCGAAGAAGTAAAAATGGCGGTTTGTAAGCAAAGAAATTGAATATAGAGGATTAGGAGTTATACAAGCAATTTTGACTCTAAGTTTTGGAGTATTGTGTGCATGAATTTTGCTTTGTGGGCTTTGAGCATTGTAGCTGTAGCATTCTGTTAACATTGCAAACTTATCTGCATTATGTAAATGTCATCAGCATTCATCTGCTTTTATGCAAAGCTACAAATATATGCACTGAAGACAAAAGTTTGTACAGTTAGTACAGCTGAAAGCAAACATTGTACTTAACTTGATGAATCTAATGAACTGCAGTTGTCTCACTAGAACTGAGATTGTGCTTAACTTGATGAATCTAATGAACTGCAGTTGTCTCACTAGAACTGAGATTGTGCTTAACTTGATGAATCTAATGAACTGCAGTTGTCTCACTAGAACTGAGATTGTACTTAACTTGATGAATCTAGTGTACTGCAGTTGTCTCACTAGAACTGAGATTGTACTTAACTTGATGAATCTAGTGTACTGCAGTTGTCTCACAAGAGCAAACATTGTACTTAACTTGATGAATCTAGTGTACTGCAGTTGTCTCACTAGAACTGAGATTGTACTTAACTTGATGAATCTAGTGTACTGCAGTTGTCTCACAAGAGCAAACATTGTACTTAACTTCATGAATCTAGTGTACTGCAGTTGTCTCACAAGAGCAAACATTGTACTTAACATGATGAATCTAGTGTACTGCAGTTGTCTCACAAGAGCAAACATTGTACTTAACTTCATGAATCTAATGTACTGCAGTTGTCTCACTAGAACTGAGATTGTACTTAACTTGATGAATCTAGTGTACTGCAGTTGTCTCACTAGAACTGAGATTGTACTTACTTGATAAGTCTAGTGGATGCATATTGTTTCACAGGAGCAAACATTGTATTTAACTTAATGAATTCAGTGTACTGCAGTTGTTTCATTAATTTGTACCCATTTTATCTTTGTACTGCATTGTCTCACAAGAGCATATTTTGTACTTAACTTCATGACACAAACATTTAAAAAAAAAAAGATGTGTACTTAACTTGCAAAATGCTTATTGTACTGCAAATTTTTCTCACAGAGAATTCACATGTACTTAACATGAGCATCTAATTTACTGCAGTTGTCTCACAAGCGAATCATTGTAGTTAAATGAATCTAGTGTACCGTTGTCTAACAAAGAAACATTGTACTTAACTTGATGAATCTAGGAGTTATCTCAAAAAGCAATTTTGTACTCTAAGTTCATGAAGTAGTGTGAGCATGTGTTTCACTTTGTGGGCATTGAGCATTAAGCTGTAGCATTAGTGTACTGCAGTTGCAAACTAGAACTGCAGATTGTACTTAATGTCATCAATCAGTGTACATCAGTTGTCTGCACAAGCTACTAATATGTGCACTGAACTTCAAAAATCTAGTGTACTGCAGTACAGCACAAGAGGAAACACTGTACTTAACTTGATGAATCTAATGAACTGCAGTTGTCTCACTAGAACTGAGATTGTACTTAGCTTCATGAATCTAGTGTACTACAGTTGTCTCACAAGAGCAAACACTGTACTTAACTTCATGAATCTAATGAACTACAGTTGTCTCACAAGAGCAAACATTGTACTTAACTTCATGAATCTAATGTACTGCAGTTGTCTCACATGATTTTCTCACACCCTCTTTAGAGTCCACCATACGACAACACAAACTCCTCTCAAGTAAACTCTGCTGTTGGGTCCACCAATCTACAACTCTCTGCTCCTGTGACACCGAACAAACTGAATAAAAAGAAGAGGAAGAAGGTAATGGTTTTGCTTCTCCAGTGTTGCTGTCAATGTGTGTGCTTGTTGCTTTTAGTAAAACATGTCTGTATAGTCATTTTATAAACCGAATGAATCATAACTAGGAAACTCAGTGATGAGAATAGAAAAGATAAGCACAGATATCCATACACATGTTTTTCATTTTCCCATTGCTGAACCTGTCACTTGATTCTCACGCATAATACCAAGAATAAAGAGTATCATTTGGACATAGAAGGGCTAATGTGTACAGTAATTGTCGGTAAGATAATGAAATTAATGTTTGAAAGTCACCTAGTCTAGGCACTGTTTGACAAGGGACGTCACTGCCATGAACAAACTCTCAACTGCGACACCAGTAAGACAACTATTAAATTATCAAACATTCCGGATGAAGGCCACATTTTATGGCAGCGAAAAAACCCACCCTGACAGGGCATTAATCACATGTAAATTGCTAATTTCTTTCCGGCAAATATACGGCTGCAAAAGTAGGATACATTTCCGGAGTTGATATTGCGAAACGCAACAAAACATGCAGTACAAGTGGGATAAATTTCTGCTGGTGATGTCGCGAAACGCAACAAGCCGCCGAGTTAAACTTGCCCTCGAGTGTTTTCCCCTGCTCCGCTACGCGGGGCGCGGAGGGGGCTAAACTACAAGGCTGGGACTCACGAGCAGCAGCTACCGCATCTCGTGAAGCTTCCTCATTTTATTTGCTTGTGATTCCCAGCTGGTATTGGCTATCCTCGAAATAATGGCCACATATTATGGCAGCCACAAAAATAGCCACAAACAGCAGATTTTTGGGCACTATTTGCAACTTCTGTGCCAAAATTTTCAAATATAAAGGCGCCAATTATCGGTTAATAGTCGATTTCATTTCCTCTTATTTTTTGTTCCCTATTATTTTTGAGTTCAAGTTTTTTAATGTTTACAACACATGACCTAATGAGGCCCTGGCAGGGTGTGTTTTTAATATGTAGCCATTATTCGGAGGATAGCCAAGATTCCAGCGTTGAGATATAAAAGAGGTGACTCGGAAAACCAGATTAGACAAAGACCCAGTCATAGTCTGAGATTGTGACAAAAATGAATACTCAGACTCTGGTGCAGAAAATGGCAATGCAGACAGAGGGACCCACACGTAGCAGAGAAGGTCGACACATAGACCGGCAGAGAGATAGACGCAGAACTGCTACTGATACTGGAAGAGAGATGGCAGTGGAGATTCCAGACCAGTACAGGATATGCCAAGACTTACATAGAGCTGGAACATAGAGAATTGCTCACACATAGTAGTGATATGGAAGACTGATAGAGTGCTCAGGCCAATTGATAGGAAGCCATAGGAATGCAGAGCAGAAACTGGTTGACTAATTCTTCTTCTTTTCTTTTTCTTCACTTCATCTTGCATCGCTTCTGGAGTTGGTTCTAGTTCTTGCTCTTCTCCTTGAATTTGCCATACACATTCCATGCTGTCGTATTTTCTCTGATATCTTCGCATCTTGTTCTGCAGACTGATACTGGATGAAGATGTAGGAAAACTTTTAGGAAGATAGACATTGTAAAGTAAGCAAATTTTGCCTATGAAAATCAACATGTGAACATGTTCTTTTTAATATTTAAGAAACATTACCCCAAAAAAAAAAAACACATACTGTTTCCCTGAAATTATGTAAATATTAATCTACCACAATTTTTTCAGGACCCCCCCCTCCCCCCCCCCCCCCCCCCCCCCCCCCCCCCAAAAAAAAAAGCCATACTTAAGATCATCAGCTAGAAGAGGAGACTTGTTGTCGATGGGGCTACATGACATGGAGTCGCACAAGATTTAGGCCAGAATTGGGGATTTGGAGAGTTATGACAAAGTTTCAGAAGAAGATGACATGACTAAAATTGAATAGATGTAGAATACTATACATTAAAAAATTTAGATTGTTGTAGATTTTACTGCAACACTGTGTTGACCTGAAATCCCAAGTCAACTATAAGCTGAAACATTTATAGACTTAAACATATTATAAACTGAAACATTTATAAACTGAAACATTTATAGACTTGAAACATATTATATACTGAAACATTTATAAACTGAAATATTTGTAGACTTGAAACATATTATATACTGAAACATTTATAAACTGAAACATTTATAGACTAGAAACATATTATAAACTGAAACATATAATAAACTGAAACATTTATAGACTTGAACAAATTATAAACTGAAACATTTATAAACTCAAAACATATTATAAACTGAAACATTTATAAACTCAAAACATATTATTTACTGAAACATTTATAAACTTGAAACATATTATAACTGAACCAAGACAACCACCTGGCAGCATTTAACCACTGCACTTCCATGGCTCTAGACAGATAATGTTTTGTGTGAAATAAACATTAAAATACTTGTTACTTGTTGTTCTGTTTCAGAGTGGGCCAGCAACATCTATGGAGCTATCATGGGATAGCACCATTCTTCCAGCAGACGTCAGAGAGGCAATGAGAAGATATTTCACTGATATTAGTCCTTTTGCGTCACAACTTGTAGGTGGCTTTACTCTGGTTTAGATTACAAAGGTTATGTCATAGAAATTGTATATTTTTTGTCTGTGCCGTCTCCACAGTAGGTTAGCTACAGTGTACCCACAACTGTCTTTTGAAATGTAACGTGGTGAAGCCCCAGTTCAAACATATGATTTAAAAATAAACAAGTGAAACAATTTCTAGAGACCTCAAAGATGTGGTTTTACAGAAAAATACTTAGAATTCTTTGGACAGTAACAACAAAAACATCAACAAGAAAAAAGAGCAACCCAGATGTTTTGAAATAGGTGAGCGCTTGAAGACAACTTTCACAAACATTAGAAAGAGACAGTGATCATTTTTTAAATCATGGAATGAGAAAAGAAAGAAACTGGAACATGTTTTGACCACTGGAAAGATCGGGTGGGGGTAGTAAAAAAAACACAATAAACCTACACCTTTTATAGGGAGCCACAATGGTGTAGCGGCTAGGTGTTCACCTGCGGATCAAAAAGTTGTGGGTTCAAATCGGAAAAGAGCTAGACTTTTCTCAAAATGAACTTGGCTTTCAGGTCAATTCAACCTAAAATGGGTACTAAATAAAAGTCCCGAGAAGAAAAGGGGATCTGTGTGATGTTTACCATATCACCCACTGAACGCTGATTGGTCTATAAAATATAGGTCTTGCACTATATGCCCAATACACCCAGAAGCGTGAAAAAAAGTACTTTACTTCACACCCATTATGGCTACATAAGCCCTGAGTAGACCGCAGTACTGTGTAGGTATGTAAGAACTACCCCACCAGGACATCACCTAATTGATAAACACCCGGTGACACACAGCGCCACCACGCAGATGAGGATCACCTGTGAAGAGGTTCTGGAAACCCCATTCAGCCATTAGGCCATATTTATTACCCTGCTATATTTAGGGCCCTGGCAAAAGCCAGGATGGGGCTTCAAAATAACGAAAAACTGCATCCCACATGAAGATGACTTTTTGATATGTACTGATAGGTAAACGTTTTTTCTTCCGTTAAATAATTTTAACGGCTGTTTAGTATTAAAAAAAATAATTTGTTTAAAATCCAAACAGTATAATAAAAAAGCAGATGTATATCATATACCCTTACTATATGGAGACATCTCTAATAAAGCCCTTCTTAGCAAGACAGTTGAGAGTCGTTACTTCTAAAGGGAGAAGCTAGTTTCAATATAGGCAGGCCATAAATATGGCCAATTGTCTGAACGCGGTTTCTGGGACCTCTCCACGGTGATCCTTATCCACATGGTGGCACTTCGTGTCATCGGGTGTTTATCGCTTGTGTGATGTCCTGGTGGGGTAGAAAGTCAGTCAGTCAGTCTAAAGGGAAGTAACAAAATAAGAAATCTGTCACTTTATAAGTAATTACAACCCTTGACCTATTCAAGATAAGCCACTGAGACATGAGGAAGAAATTGGCATTGGTTGAGAACATTCTTCAAACAGAAACTCTGCAGGGTTTAATAAATCTAAAGCTAATTATTTTTGATAGATACTAACCTGGAGATCTGAGGGCAAATTGAGAAGAACAAAAGAATGTATGATAAGTTTGAAGTGGGGATCAACATCATAGCACACAAGTAGTAACCCATAAGTGCTCGGTTCTTCTTCTACCTCAAGTCTTAGTCCAAAGAAGCTCAGCACAGTGCACAGGCTCTGTAGCACCGGCGAGGACCCTGAAATACTTTGGGTAGATCTTCAACTGCAAATTTTTGCCCGGGCAGCGCTGTTAGGCTACTTTTTCCAATTTCCAATAGCCAAGGGATTTTTGTTATGTGTGCCACAATACAGACGGGAGTCTGATCTCACTACCCAGAGACCGTAGGAAATACTAGAAGCCCAAGTCCACATGAAAAAAATCCCAGTCGTTACTGGAGATTGAACCCGGAATCTCTAGCACTTGAGGCGGACACCATGCCCCAAGACCACGCAGCCCTCCAGAATGTATAAAAGTATAATCACACAAATTCAGCAATAATTTGCGTTAACAAAGTATGACAATTTTACTTCATTAAAATGTTCAGTACTAAACCAACAATATTATTCAGCTAAAAACATAACATTGTTATAAACAGACTTGCTATATCAAGGTTTTAATAATGCTGACACAGACAATACATGGACAAATTAATTGTTTGCTATTTTGGACTTATTTTGTCAGATTAATGTTTTCCGAGCATATATCAACATAAATAAAATCACAAAAGAATAATCTTCGCTGAAATACACAGATTGCTGTGTCGGATGATATTCTGTTGGAGGTTTAATGGGGTGTCTTGGGAAATAAGCTGTTTAATTCTCATCCTTTTGATCAAAACTAGAAGAGTGTGATGCAACGACCCCTCGACCCCTTGGGATTACAAAACTAGTGTGACGTAACGGGTCGCTGGTTCTCTGGATTTTATGTGGGTTTAAATGCTTTTATGTTGAGTAGGGATTTTCCTCTCAACACATCCCCTCCACCAGATTAACTGAACTAATATCCGGGCTATGTTGCTCTCAGACAAAGTCCTGAATATCCAAGAAAACAGCATATTGGCTCATTAATTTTTTTAACATTAGATGCACTTGGTACCCACAAGAGAAGGAAATGGGTTTTAGATGTCTATATTATTATATTGAAATAATGATTAGACAGGGCAGTTGACTCCTTCTGTCCGTCATCACTCATACTTCCAACTGGCTGACATTGATTTGACATAAACATGTGGCGCAGGTTATGTGCTGAACACGCACAACTTTTTATACATGCATGCTGTCCTGAATATGATCTTTCAGTGACAGTGAATTCTGTACACCCATCATTCTTCCCCTGGGGTTATAAATCCCGTGTTTAGGTGAGCACATGGTGGGCACACAAAAACGTAGCCACATGGCTGCACCTATGGGCATCCTCTCCCACAGTCCAGACTCATGTTTTGGTTGATGGTTGAAACATTATAATTTCATTACATTTCAGTATACAAGTCTTATTTTATAAACCTGAAAACATACACTGAAAAACATGTGGCACAAACATACAAGAAATAGGAATGGTTTAGCAGTTCCCTAACTGAGATAAGTGAATACTCACAAAGAACTTTTTCAAGCAGAATTAGCTAACTCCCTAACCTATGTGCTATCCTGAAAATAATTGTACAAGCATACCTGGGAACATTCCAGCAATCGCCAAACCGGAATCAAACAGTTAGAATTACCTCTACTGTCAATCTGAGTTTGTTGCCAGTGGGCAGCGATTATGACAGAAAGTCAAGAAGCTAGGAAATACATCTATCTGTCTGCAAGGTTAAACTCCTCCCTTTTCTATGTTCTACCCTACCCCAAAGGAGATGATCTAAGCCACGCCCCTGAGGTACCTTGCAAATCAAAATAGCTATCAATGGGCCTGTCACTCAAAGTGAACGGCCTTCAGTAAGACCAAACATTCTTAATTGGCAAACATCTGTTCTCCAGCCAATTTAACTGGCAGGTGTAAAAAACTGTCCAGAGGACGCCGTCAGGTCTGGAGTTGTCTACCAGACCACTCAATTCCCCTGATCTGCTCTGTTCAAAAGGCCCCACTCAGTCTGTGTTATATAACATTTATAATACTAGGGTCGGGTTCATGGGAGATAATCTCAGGTGTGATACTGTGGTCAAGAGATAATTATATGACACTGGCTTGTGAAACGAATCTCTAGCTAAGGTAATGTTAGGTAATATTACACAAAGCTTGGTTGCTTTGTCTGGTGAGAGACGGGAAACAAAGTTTAAACAATTATTCAAATCCCTTGTGGTGGTTTTAGTACTGTTTAGGCTCAGTACATATTGAGTATAATTCTTTGTCCTTCTATCAGTCATCATCAGTTCTCGTTATGCCTAGTGGCACATGAGGCTCCAGAGAGGACTTTCCATGCTTTCCTGTCCTGTGCAATCTTCAATGCAGTTTTCCATGTCAAAGATGCCGCACTCAGGTCACTTTCCATCGTTCGTCTCCATGTTGTTTTTGGGCGCCCCTGTTTTCTCTTTCCCTCTGGTGTCCACGTGAGAGCTGTTTTGGCAGGTATATCAGAAGTCATTCTCATAACGTGGCCAAGCCATTTCCATCTTCTCTTGGTAATCATACTGTCTAAAGTTTCTTGGTTTGTAGTTTGAAGTAGTTTAGTGTTTGAGATTGTATCTGGCCAGAAAATTTTGATAATTCTACATAGACATGTGTGGTGGAAGGTGGACAGCTTTTTGGTCATTCTCCAGCATTCCGCTCCATAGAGAAGAACTGCCAAATGATGCTCTTGTAGAGTCGGAGTTTCGTTCCTCTGGAGTAATTGGAAGATTTCCAGATTTGCCTCATCCTTCCAAAAGCAGCTCTAGCTTTGTTCAGACGTGACTGTATGTCTTCCTCTGTCCCTCCCAGTAGTGACACCACACTGCCAAGATACGTGAAATGTTCTACATTTTCAAGTGATTGGTTACTTATGGTCACTGGTTGTTGGTTTGGACTGTTTGTCATGATCTTAGTTTTCTTTGTATTTATTCTCAGTCCCACCATTTCTGCTGCGCAGTTTAGTCTGTTACTTTTCTCTTGTATATGTTCATGTTTATGTGATAGGAGTGCTATATCATCTGCAAAATCAAGGTCCTCAAGCATGGTGAATGGAGTCCATCGTATGCCTCTTAATGTCCTGTCTACTGTGTTCTTTAGTATCCAATCAATCACAAGGTTGAAGAGGAGAGATGACATAACACATCCCTGTCTTACACCCGTCTTTACTGGGAAAGATGTACTGTAATTTTTTATACTGCAGGAAAAGTCTTTATAGAAGAGAGCAATTATGTTGACTATTTTTTCTGGAATTCCATAATGTCGTAAAATTTTCCACAGATCGTCTCTATGGACGCTGTCAAAAGCTTTCTCAAAGCCCACAAAATTAATATATATACTTCTCTGCCATTCGTTGCATTGTTCTAAAATGTTCCGTATGGCGAAGATGTGCTCA